GAAGAAGAAAGGTCCACCTTTCGAAAGCGCTCAGGTTATAGGGTTTTTATTCATTTCTATCAAGACTTCTTGAACATACATGTTTTTATAAAGTCATGAATGGACCTTCAAATACAAATACCTAAAAGAAAAAGTCTGAATGTCAGTTTACCAAACTTAAACTTATAATCCATAACACTAAAGTTCATATTTCTAACTCATAACATACTGAAAAAACATACATCCTAAAAATTTTAAACACATGAATCAACTCTTTTTTTTTCATCCTCCACACTAGAGAAAACAAATTCAAATGTTTGTATTACATTAAACAAGTTCTTTTTGTAATAGCTCACTTTTAAACTCTTTCAAAAATACTTACATTCTTCCAGTAGTAAAAGAACTGAAACTGCACACAATACTCTAAAAGGAAGCCACATAGACAGTGTTATCATGAAAGCCAAACATAACTACTGAAAATTTTATCAACAATCACTTTTCAATACTCCTCCTCCTCTGGTTGAACACAACCAGAATTTCAAGCTTAACAAACTAATTTCTGTGAAAAAATCTACAGACATAAGCAAACAATGTAAAAATGCTCTATCAAAAAGGTTTATATTTTTGTCTACCTACCCCTAAACTTAGTTTCTCAAATTACTTTTTTTCCATTTGAATGTATTTACAAAACTCTTAAATCCTTTCCTAGATTTAACAAAAATAACATATCAAACACAGAATGCCTCATCAAAACTAAAATGCAAAACGTGTCATTGTCCTCTTATAAATTCAACCCCTTAAAAAAAACCTTCTCCTATTATACAGGTTATTTTCTGCCTTAATAGAAGAGGGCTGTGCAGGAAACATAACAAAGCAGAGCCTGTGCCAGACACAAAAGATGATCCAAATCAGATCTGGAATACAAATAAGAGATGGAGGGGAGGGAAATAAGAGCGAAGGTGATGTTTCCTTTTGCACATTGTCAACATCTTGGGGAAAAATTACAATCTAGATAAAGGAGGACACAGGTAGGGTGTTAACAAATATGGGTGACAACAATAGCAAAGATATCAGATCTATGACATCCACATGCAAATATAAAAAATAAATGTATCTTGAGGGAAGGTGGTACAAAGAACAAAAGGTTCCAAGGATAACATTGAGATTTCAAACTGATAGGAAAACTGGGAAGGGCAGACAAATCAGGCAAAAGGACAGAAAAGGAAAGATATGACAGAAGTGGGAAAAAATAAAGATTTTGGACAAGACTGACCTATAGCCCACATGGGTAGAAACAGATAAACCATTGTTAAAAAGCCAAGTAAAAAAACCATAAAGGTGGGAACACTTAAATTGGAAGGTGAGAGGCCATGGTGCAAAGACCAAGGATGTAAAATGTGTAATTTACACTGTTAAATAGAGTCCAGATCATCTTGCAAGAGAACAGAAAAAATCCATGTGTGGGTATGGAAGGGTGAAAGACAGAGGACTGAGGTTGCTAGAGAAGGAATTGGGAAAGTGGAAGAGGTATGGGAGGAGATGATCAAAGGGGGTTCAACAATGGAAACTATGGTTGAGCAGGGCAGAATGGGCTGAAGAGGACTTGAGTTGGAATGGTTTGTACAAGACAGAGAACATAGGGAAGAGGTTGATGGGAGAATAAGCATACACGTAAAGATTGGTCCAATCCTGACTCAAGGCATCCACCACTAAAGACTAAAGCAAATTATGCAGAAGCAGAGAGCAGAAGAGAAGTTTTGTAATGAGCTGGGTGGCAAATGCATCTAGAAAGGGGGGTACCCAGCTGGGAGCATAACCACCAGAACACTTAAGGTGCAAGTGACCATTCAATCAGCAGAATTTTATTGGAATGAGATAGCCAACCTGCCACAAGATTCAGAGCACCTGGAATGTGACAAGCAAGAAGATGGACCTACTGAAATTAGACCAATAAAAAAGATCCAGCATTGATGTAAGAGACAACGGTCAGATTGTTGGAATGGATCATGACCAAGTGGCCTCATACCACTGGCAGGAAATGATCAAAAGCCAGACAAACAACTAGGTGTTCCAAAAGGCTGATGTGTAGGGAAGGTTTGACCATTGACCAGCTTCTCTGGAGAATCCAAATATGCTCCCATCATGAAGAGAAGCATCTATAAAGAG